AGAGAGAACAAATTCCATACTGGATAATTTTTTCACGGTCTAGTGAACGCTCAGCACATTGTCAACCGTTTTGCATTTAAAGTCATTATGAAAAATTATGGTAATGGATAGAAACGCACAGTTTTGTATAAACAGCATATAGGTTTGTACTACTTGCTCCCCTGAAGATGATCTTGGAAGAAAATCGAAAGTACTTGGGAAATGAAAATAAAAGAAATTTAAACAGCTATAGCACATTTCTCTCATCCTTTAATATCAGTACACGGAAAGTTATCCGTGAGTATGAAAGGATTTGTTAAAAATTAGCAGACATAATGTCTGTAATTTATTCAATCAAACATGCCTAAAAGATTTGCTTTCTATATACAAACATTTCAATATATATATATATATATATATATATATATATATATATATATATATAAAAGTGAGCATAGAAGTCAACACTTAGAGGCGACAGCCTGTTTCATGCTATATGCAATCGTCAGGCCACGTGTGCTGTTATTTTTCTCGGCTACTTATATATATACAGGTCAGTGGTTCATTGTGGGTAGTCTATTATGGCGGTTATTTTACCGGAAGTCGTTTTTTTATTAATTATTTGGGTTAAATTATTTTACTTGTTTTTATTTAATTTCATTTTTTGTTTCTTATTTTATTTATTTATTTACTTATCTTTTAATCGGTGTTTTTATTAACGTAGTAAAAATTTGTTTATATCACTTATTTAGTTTTGTTTTGGTTTGAGAATTTAATTAAAGCTATTTGTTCGGTTTTGGGGTTGATTGTTGTAGTTTATTCTAACTACTATTTTGGCAGGAACAGTTATATATATATATATATATATATATATATATATATATATATATATATGAATACAGTAATGTTGCTATGTTCAACAGACAACTTGTCAAAATCTTAGACAAGAAAAAATTACAAACAAGGACAGGAAAAAAAGAGCAAAATGCAAACATTTAACTTGAACGCTATTTTCAGGATATATATATATATATATATATATATATCCCCGACTCTCTTCCCATTATTCCCCTACATCCTTTATCTATATATTTTAACGTTATTTTTAGACCCCTTGTTATTCCTTTTTAAAATTTAAATAATATTTCATTCTTAATATAACCCCAAATTAAAGTCATAAGGTTAATATTCGGGTTTAATTCCATAAAACTTCTTCCTCTTAAGAAAAATACCTTCCAACTCCTATGACCCCTGTCTCGTGCCTTTCGTCTGACTGAAACATTGAAATGGCTAAATTTTGTATTAGTTTTTCGACTGTTTTTTTTATATTTTTATTCACAGTTAAATTTCTATTTCTAACACGCACTCAGTCCACAACGGGGTTGATAAGACAGACGACCGATATCTTCGTCTGCCGAAATAGACTATTTCTCATATGTGGATCAGTTTTAATATTTTATATTACTCGGATCCACTTGCATTATATACAAACTGATTTGTTACCTTTATGTATATATATATATATATATATATATATATATATATATATATATATATATATATATATATAAATATATATTAAGGAAAAATCTATGAAAAACGTTAGGACTTCATCGGACTAAAGTGATATTTTCCCTCAAATAGTTTTTTGATATATAAACATTTATATATACAGGGTATATCAAAAATGCATTTATAAACTTTGGGTACGGTTTCCTCACACCAAAACAACAATAAAACAACAAAAGTTCATATAAACATATGCCCACAAATCCTCCGTTTTGGATTTATTAAGATTAAAGTTTACGGCAGACGCTATTAAATGTACAATTCAAAAATACTTTTACAAACTTTAAATATCCTGCCAGTGTTAAACGGAACACTTCTCAGTTAACTCACTACTACACAAGTTAAACTTTGAAGACAAGTTAGCCACAAATGTACACGAATGACAAATGTAACCTAGTCTACATAGCAGCACAGCGCCATTTACCATAAACTTTCTTCAAACTTAATAAATCAAAAACGAAGGATTTACGGATATATGTTTATATGGACTTTTGTCCTTGTTTTGGTGTGAGGAATCCGTCCCTAAAGTTTATAAAAGTATTTTTGATACACACTGGATATATAATCAGTGAATCGGAGAGAATCGTTGTTGTATATTAAACATAAAAAATTGTTGTTTATGCATTGTGAGTGTGTGTGTGTGTGTGTGTATATGTGTGTGAATACCCACATATAAATAAAAAAGAATATGAATAAAGTAAAATGGAAAAGTATTTTTTACCGTCTATATATATGTAAAATTTATTCTACATTTAACACCATCACGTGATAAGATACCAGAAGAGTTGAAACAAAATAAATATTTTATAAAATCACTACAAAAATTGCTATGTTATAATTTTCGAATAAATAATTATATTTGCTCTACTCTGTATTGAGCACTCGTTTAAGAATAGTATTTTTTGGTTATTGGAATTTATTCCATACTAGCAGTAGAGCCCGGCGTTGCCCGGGGATATAACAGTAAGAGATAGATCAAGTACCCACCATCATAAAGACTGAAAAATAAAATTGACAAAGATTATTGTTTAAGGTTGATGGACAAGCATGTCTTAATTTGTTTTTTTTTTGTTTTTTTTTTACGAATTGGTCAAACTCAAACAAAAACATTGTTTTCAATCGTTATGAGTCTACTGATTGAATAGAATTTTATTATAAATAATTGTCTTGTAAATGGAATTTTTAAAGCATTCTGAATGTTAAAAATAAAGAAAAAAATGTGCAAGAATAAGAAACACTACCTGTCAAAAATAAGTTTTGTTTTATCGGCTGAAAAATATAGGAAATCCGCTCCCATGTTTAAAGTAACCCACGCACACAAACAAACCGATGTGAGTTGCCTCCTTCCATTTTCACGATGTCTCTTAATCGTGTTTTCAAATTGATTTTGTGCAAAAACAATTATATTTTTCCCATTTTTGGCGCTGTTAGAACCACCACAAGGTAATTTTATGTAGTCCTGTGAAGTTTTGTTGAAATCGGTTGAAAAATGTAGGAAATCCGATCCAATATATAAACGTTACAGACAGACACACACACACACACACACACAATCTGCGTTTTATAATAAGTAAGATACACCAATCCTATACTTGGATATACATACATATATATATATATATATATATATATATTGCACATTGTGGGCTGCTGCTAATATAATAGTGATCAATGAAGATTGCGTTGTGCATGAAACTCACAGTTATGCCTTCCTGGTGAGGAAAAATGCATAACGCAATCTTCAGATGCTGAGTATAGAATGACCGTTATTTAATTTAAATTTTTAGAATATTTGATTATCGCAATGTTGACGCAGTTAGATATTCTACTGGGATTACAGTTTTTTAATTGACAAAAAAATATTTGACATTTAAAATAAACTAGATTTTTATATATATATATATATATATATATATATATATATATATATATAATATAGAAAAAAAGAAAAGTTATTTTAGAGTTGTGAATATTAATTTTTTTTTATTTTTTTATATTAAGCATGAAAGGAGATTACTTGTTCTTTAAAAAAACGAAAGTTCCATTAAAAATTAATCTGGATCAGCGTAAGCAGTTATTCATTTTATGCTTACATGTAACCTTCATTTCTTTTGTTTAATAAGTTAGGGTTATTTAAGTGTTTTAAGATAACTAAATTTTCAACAAGACATAAATTACATCTATTTCCTTTCTCATTGTAAGATTTGGCTCTTGCTATAATATCCCAAGTGATAAAAAGTGTATTACCATCATTCTTTAATTACCAGAAAAAATTAGAGAGACATCAGTGTTATATTAAATGTAATATCAACCAACAATAAAATATAAAATAAAAAACTATCAATACACAAAAAAAAACAGTATCCAGATCAACATTTATTTCCACCCAATAGCCGCGAGAATAATTCTAAAAATAACGGTTACCGACCACCAAAATAAATGTTAGAACAATATAATAGACTACCCACAATGCATCACTGACTTGTATATATATAATATAAATAATCGAGCAAAAACACGACGCATATGGCCTGACGATTGCATTAAAGTATGAAACAGACTGGCATCTCTGGTTTTAACTCATATTGAGCACTTTAACCCATAAATATAGCATACTTTAAAACTATATTTTTATCCCATATATATATATATATATATATATATATATATATATATATATATATATATATATATATATATATATATTAAATGGCAGTATAAATAATATTATAAAGTAATAATACAAAGAATTAATCAGTAAAGTTAATGTAATTAAAGCGAAATCACTTTGCTAACAGGTTTAATAAAGCATTAACTTACCAAACACTCGTAGAATGACGCTAGCTTTATGTTTATAATTGTAAGATGAAGTATATGTTCCGTCGACGCTAGAGTTGTATTTATGCACGCTCCAAAATTATGTAACCGTTAATAAATGACACACTCTTTCGTCCTGCAATAAATTTATTTTCGTCTTGGAAGTTACCTGAAATGAAAAAAAAAATACTAATCCCTGATGATGAAAATATGTTGATTTTCTAAAGTACTAGCATCGACGAAAAATTGCTTGAAATGAAAAATCGGTGAGGCGAGTTCGAATTCCAATCGGGTTCGATACATTGAGTTTTCTTAAGAACGTTATGAATCCATATGTATTTTTAATGATAGGATTGAATCATAAAAAATGCAAAATTGAGAAAAAAAGGAAAATAATGATAGAATAAATAAATATGGGAAGAAGAATTGAAGAAACGAAACATTAAAAGGAAAGAAAGAAGAAGAGAAAGAAGAAAAATAAAAAAGAAAGAAAAATCTCGAATGATTAAACAGCAGAAAGAAAGAAAATGAATGAATCCTTAATAAAAAAAAAAAGTAGAAAAAAAGAAGAAGAAAGATAGAAAGATAAAAACATCAGGAGGAGGAAGAAATAACCAGAATAAATAATAAAAAAATCAAAAGAAAGAAAGAAAGAAAGAAGGATGATGTGATCGGAGAAAGAAAAGGTGAAAGAAAGAAAGAAAGAAAGAAAGAAAGAAAGAAAAAGAGGTCGATTTTGGAGAAAGATTGAAGTGAAAGAAAGAAAAAGAACAGAGGTTGATAAGAAAAAAAGAAAGAAAGAAAGAAAGAAAGAAAGAAAAAATGAAAGAAAGAAAGAAAGAATGATTGGCACTGGATGAAATACAAGTAAAATAATCCATAGAAAGAAAGAAAGAAATAATGAAAAAAGAAAGGAAGCCAGTGAAAGAGAAGAAAGAGAATTACAAAAACGAAAACTAAAGAAAGAAAGACAATGAGAAAGAAAGAAAGAAAGAAAGAACGAGAAAAACGAAAAAAGTTGGAATGAGTAAACAATAGGAAAGAAGACGAAATTAAACGAAAAAAATTAAACAAAATGTAAAGAAGAAAGAAAGAAAGAAAGAATGATTTAAAGGAGAGAAACAAAAAGATCGAAACTGAACAATGCATTAAAAAAGAAAAGAAAAAGGAAATTAAATATGCAAATAGAGAAATGATGAAAAGGAAAACGAAAAAAAGAGGCGGAAAATGCTATAAAAAAAAAATAAAATAGAAAAGAAAACTTATTGAAATAAATATGCGACGTGAAATAAAACACCCTAAGGTTTATGAATAAGTAGTTAAGTAGTTGTGTAAATACACTTATGTGCACTATTGTCTCGACTGTCGATTAGTTGTCCTACGGCCATTGTCTGCGATAGACGTTACTCCAAGGAAGCGTGCAAAAGTTGTAACGCTGCACGAACACAATGGCAAATCAAAGTACGATCGACTGGCTCGGAAACTCTCCTGATTTAAATCCAATCGAGAATCTGTGGTCAATCTGCAAGGAACGACTTCGTGGAATGGATAGACGATGCACTGGGTCATGTTTCATTGGAAAAATACGAAAAAAAAAGTAAATAATAACGGAGTCATTGGTTTTGTTTCAATTAATTTGCACAAGGGTGTAAATTCGTAGAAGTTTCAACGAAAAAATCATGCCTTGTTTAATAAGTTATTCTGGCAAGGTCCTTTCACTCATGCTCTGTGACCAAACTTGGAAGAGGCAGGCTTCGGGTTAAGAAGCTGTTTCCCTACGACAAAAACGAATGCCAGTTCGATTCCTGACGGAAGCTGAATCTTTTTTTTTAGTAAGACTTACTAGTTTAGGCCAGTTACTAATTACACTATTAACCTAGAACCTAGAACAGAGAAAATCCTCCAACCATTTTTTACAGGAAATAACCTTCTCAATAATAACCTGTCTGGGATTATCTTGTCTTGTTTTTATCTTTAGTACTGGTCAGTTATTTTTCGGACTGCTTTCACTTGGTCTGTACAACCCGAGTCAGAGATTGAACTCCCAATCATTATGTTATCTTATACACATTAATGAACCAACTCTTCAATTCTGTAGGCTACTGTCAACTCAATTAATTTTACTTTATTTAGATTTCAGCATTAAATAACCCATAGAGATGTCGATATACCACTAAAGAAAATCAACCAACCAATCTTTAGTGCTGGTCAGTCATTCTTCGTCCACGGTTCCACTGTGTTCACACTACCCTGACCAGGGATTGAACTCCTAACTACTCTCAAGTCTTAGTTAATATAATGTGATGTTGTAGAAGTATACAGTTTGGTAGTGCTTTGTGTAAAATTTTCGACCTGCCAACAAGGATGAGAACTAAAGGAATAAATGTCACAAAAAAAAAGAAAAAAAGACACGTATCGCTATCTATAAAAGGCAGGATGTGTGTGTGTGTGTGTGTGTGCGCGCGCGCGTGTGTGTGTGTGTGAGACGAATGCACAGTCGCAATTTTCGACGGATTTGCACCAAAATTTACATGCACATGCTCCAAGTTAGCGGAAAGGCCAAGACCGACTTTCCCAACTCCCATCGATAGTGGAAATAATCTATTTTTTCATGGTTCTACAGCAGTTTTCCTGTAGTTTGCGGCCATTTTCTACTGGCCAGAGTGAGAGCCAATAGCTGGCTGCCACGAATAGGCAGGAAGATTCTATTTACCAGCGTGAGAGCCAACATCTGACTGACACGAATGTTAACTAGCATGCAAAAAAAATCGATAGCTACATTCGTCACAAGTGGGAAAAATTTAAATCTGCATGGCACTTTACTCCAATTGGCTCATTCGCTTGCTTAAACTCAACGTTGATTCTGATTCCGAAGAACTGGGTTGGATGTGAAAAAGTATTTGTTATTAACATTCTTTTTTCATTCGGTTTTTTCAAGTTACGATCCTTTTTTTTAAAGCTGATCGTTTTGTGTTCATTTTGTTTAGTTCTTTTTTTGTAACAGATTTAATATTTAGTTTAGAGTTTAGAAAAAATTCGCAGTGTGCGATAGGCAAGAAGTAAGACATGTAGCAACATCAGCATATATATATATATATATATATATATATATATATATATATATATATGGAGGCGCGGTGGAGCAGTGGTTAGCGGCTTGGATTGAGGAATTCACTTACGTGCTAGTACCCTTGGGAAAGGTATTTATCCTCTTCATTTCCCTCCAGCTATGGCTAAAATAGCAGGACAGACTGGGTTCTATAGCCTTGGATGGCAACTGGTCTAGGAGAAGGACAACTCTGAATTCAAAACCTGCGGAGGGTCGTTTGGGAACCTTGTGGCATGCATTCGGTGTACCAGGTTTCTGTATTCGTCCCTCCAAAAAGTGTGGCTGGTCCTGCACAAGGCCTTCACCACTATAAACAAATCTCATGTGCCGGTGTCGGGATGTCGGTTTCCTGGGGACTTATCGGCCTGACCCTCATACGTCGAACGCGACGGGAGAGTCGATTATATATATATATATATACATGTTTTGAACAATAAAAAATATTAAAAAACTTAAAATCTTCAGACACCCTGGTTTGTATATTAATATTCTTTTGTTTTTATTATTATTTCATTTAGATTCCTCGATTAGTTTCGGCCAACATGGCCATCATCAGGAGAAAAATAATTTTCTGCTTGCTGGTAGCAGTGAACAACAGAAATGAATGTCTTGATGGAGAAAATGAACTTTTGTCTGTAGTTTTCATTAGTTTTTTTTTATTTTTTTATTTTTTAACATGAATTTTGGTTAGTCCTTGTGTTGGTCAAACAGTCTCTTTTAAGTTGTTATTTGAGATAAGAGCTGGATGGATTCATGCTGCTCTGAATTCAATTTGGTCATTTTGACATTTTTATTGGTTCCTGGAAAGGGGATGTGTCTCTGTTAAGTGTGTGTGTTATTTGGTTCTTAGGGAGTGAGTGAGTATGATGTGTGTAAGCGTGTATATTACTATGGGTGTGTGTTATCATTTGGCTCATTAGGGAGTGAGTGAGTATGATGTGTGTAAGTGTGTATATTCGTGTGGGTGTTTGTATAAGTCTAAGGTCCCAACACCTCCGTAAGCATATCTGTCTTGTGAGGGTGAGAAATGTGGGTAGGTCCTGATTTGTGGGGTTATATATTAATACTAACTATATTGTTAAATTTATGGTTAAGCCCGGTTGGAAAGTGCGTTTTTAAACGCAGGATCCACTTATTTTCATGGAACTCTAAAATCTTTGTAATGTTATATGAGCTGAACTTTTCTATTCTCAATTATACTGAATTTGGCACAGGTTTTAAAATCGTGTTTTCTAGGCGGAAATGTTGTTATACAGGTAATAATTTTTCATTAGGAGTCGACTTAATTCGATTGCGTTAATTATTAATTCTGTAGTGAAAGGGCCATTCAGATTTCTTCACATATTTTTTCTGGCATAGTGTGCATTCTAGGAGATAAATTATGTTAGTGACTGAGCTAGTGAATGAATTGGTGCGTCTAATGTGGTTACAGCATAAGCCCCTTTTGTTGTTACATGGTTTCGTTTTTGGCTTATTACGGATTACCTTGTCCGCTGAAATGTGGTTACTATCTATGATTCCTTTTAGGTCCTTAGGTGTACGATATGCTGGAAGGCCGGGTTCCTCAAACAATGTTTTAGATCTGTTTTGAGATATAGTATTTCTCAGCGACTTTTGATTATTTGGGATAGTGGAGGCAGAGTGGGATTGAAAGTGGTTACTAGTGAGATGCGGCTGGGTTTATTTTTAATCTTGTACATTGGGGTGTCTTCTCTAGGTGTGGAAATTGCTTTATTTATTTGTTCCCTGATTAGGTGTTGTTTATAGCCACGTGTTGTGAATTGATGCTGAAGATTTTCAATGTGTTTATTTAGTTCTTCAATGTTGGAACATATCCTTCCGAGTCTAATTGCTTGAGAATAGGGAAGGTTGTCCTTGAGGTGTTTAGGGTGGGAAGACTTGAAGTGTAGATAGTTGTGGGTGTCGGTGATTTAGTGTGTAGTGTCGTTTGTAGTTTCCTGTTTTCATTTATGTAAATGCGGGTGTCTAAAAATGTTACCGATCTTGTGGACTTTACATCGTCAAACTTAATTGAGTCGTGTACTGTGTTTAGGGTCATGAGGAATTGGCTAAGTTGTCGTCACTGCCCGTGTATACAAAGAATATATCATCGATATATCTTGCAAAGAATACGCAGTCGCTACCGATGACGGGATAGATAGTGGGTCTTCTCAAATTTTCCAATGAATATTGTAGCATATGATGGAGCTGCAATGGTACCCATGGCACAACCTCTTGCTCCATTGAAGTTGAAATTATTCAATGTAAGAATATGTTCCATGAGCTTTATAACTTCTGTGGTGGGGTCTTGTTTTCTTCTAGTAAGTGCTTCTTGAAGGGCGGTTAGCCATTCGATGTGTTTAATGTTTGAATAGAGTGATCTTACGTCCATTGTCACTAGAATAGCATTTTCTGGCACTGTTTGTTTAGTAGATCTGTTGTGTCTCTGATGTAGGATTTTACTTCCTTAGCTAGATGTTTTATGTAATGGTCTACAAATTTGGAAATTTTAGTCGTGTGGCAGTTGAATGATGAAACAACCGGCCTTACTGGGTTGTTGCTTTTGTGTATTTTAGGGAGGAGATAGAAACGAGCAGGTCTGATGTTTGTGGGTGTAAGTGTTGTGCATGTTTTCTTTGTCGATTAGATTGTTGCGAAGCATCATGTTTAGTGAGTTAGTTAATTCTTTTTGGTATTCAGGAAGAGGGTTTGTAGGTAAGCTTTTATAGATTTCTTTGTCGGCTAGCTGATTGTTGGCCTCTTTAATGTATTCTTTGATTCCCCAGATCATTGTGGCACCCCCTTTGTCAGCCTGTGTTATGATCAGGTCATCTCTGTGTGTCAGCGTGTCGAGGGCTATACGTTCCCCTTCAGTAATATTGTTACATGGCAGCTTACGTGCTACTGTTTTCTTTATGTTATTTGCTACTGCCATTTCAAATGCCCATCTATGTTTTGTGGGGTGAATGTAGAGTCCTTCTCTTTTAATGTCCCAAGTATGGAAGGTGTGTGGTTATTGACTCCATAGTCGGCTTTTAGCCGTATTCTTCCTCTGAAGGATTTCAGGTCCTTTGCCAAGGTGTCACGATCAAACATTGGGGGACTTGGGCAAAAGCTTAGTCCTTTATTTAATAACCTGAATGTGTTGAGTAAAAAATTGTTATTATGTTCGGATCTATCTATCTATCTATCTATCTATCTCTGTTTGTTCATATCTATATATCTATCCATCTGCCTATATATATATATATAGTAGGTGAATTACAATTTAGATAGATAGATAGATAGATAGATATGACCAGAATGACATAGATAGATAGATAGATAGATAGATAGATAGATAGATAGATAGATAGATAGATAAAATGAGAAAATTAGTTCTGTCTTTCAGCTATAAGCGATATCTATCTATCTATCTATCTATCTATCTATCTAAATATGTTGGGATCCATCTATGTATCTAAATGTGTTGTGATCTATTTATTTGTCCATCTATGTATCTCTCTATCTATCTGTCCGCCTAATTAGATAGATAGATATGAATAAAGCGTGATACATAAATAGATATAACGTGATAACTATTTATGATTCAACCAACTACATATATATATATATATATATATATATATATAGAGAGAGAGAGAGAGAGATAAATAGATAGATATAACGTGATAACAGGTGATGAAAACTGTAAAATACGACAATGTTCAACGCAAAAATGCCGCAGATTAAGAAGGATATATCTCCAAAATCGAACCCAAAATGCGAGCTCCATGGAAGAAAGGCGATGTTTTCTATTTCTTAAACACTAACTGCACATTTATGCGTTCAGCAGCTGCAACATGTCCATAACGGCTTTGTCGAAAATCGCCCTGCTTCGGTCATAACACTCTGATGGGGAATACTTTCTTTAATGAAAACCAAATTCGAAAACCTTTTACGTCAAAACCTGCGATATGTGACAGCAAGTCTTTGCCAATGACGGTGAATATATAATTGAATAAAATGGAATTGTACTGTATATTTTGAAGAATAAGATTGATAGACAAAAACAGAAAGTATTTATGATTCAGCCAACTATATATATATAATATATAATAAGGATATATATTTTTATATATCAAGAACAATATTGGATAACCAATTTTGGTTCTCACCAGCCGATGTGCAACTGAAATGCACCGAAACGAAGTTGCATCTTTGTAGTGAGTAAACTGTTTTTGTCTATATGAAAAAATTATAATCAATAATTATTGCTCCACTATCAGTATCGAGCCCTCTTTTTGATTAATGCTGTGTACGTTAGAATTTATATATTAATTATATTATATTATAGATAGATAGATATATAGATAGATACTCTAGAATAAATTCTAAGAAGCCAGGCAAACCTACCTACTGATAGATAGATAGATAGATAGATAGATAGATAGATAGATAGATACTTTAGAATAAATCCTAAGAAGCCAGGCAAACCTACCTACTGATAGATAGATAGATAGATAGATAGATAGATAGATAGATACTCTTGAATAAATCCTCAGAAGCCAGGCAAACCTACCTACTGATAGATAGATAGATAGATAGATAGATAGATAGATAGATACTCTAGAATAAATTCTAAGAAGCCAGGCAAACCTACCTACTGATAGATAGATAGATAGATATAATTCTCTCTCTTTTCGCGCACTTTTGTAGATTTTTCTCCGCTCTGCATTTCTTTGTTTCGCCCTTACTTTCTTTTTTGATTAATCCTGATATATATGCCCTATCAATTTCGTTGCATTTAATCGCTTAGAAAGGGGCTAATGGGCCGGGCGTTGTTCTGATGGCGTTGCCATTCGAAGGTCAGCGATTTTTGTAATTAAGGAAACGCCGCGAAACAAGAGACATTAATTTCACCGAGCAGTAAGTAGCTTGGCGCCATCACAATCGTTGACGGCATCTCGCGAGATGCCGTTCACTGACAACGCAAAGTCTCGCCGTGCCCGAGACTAACGTGTACTACGTCTCTTATACGGGATTTGGAATCATTACTTTTTCTATGTATATTAAACTAGTTTAATAGTAAGGAAAGGCTAATAAATATGCCATGTAGCCGAAGAGCGAATATAATGTCCTTTTAGTGGATGTAACTACAGTGGTAAAAGCGGTGATTCAAGGAGAAGAGGGCTTATTTTATTTATGGTTTTAAATTTTAATTTGGGCTATTTTTTTTAGTGAGGGTTAATTTACCTTGATTGATGCATATCTGAGGTACGAAAATAGAAAGGAACATAGTTAACAAAATAAATATATAAATAAACCCTCACGTGAGTTTCAGCATCGTGCTTGTAAAATCCATCATATGTAAGCCTGATAAATTTCGAGGAATGTCAATAAAAATATGAAGACGAGGAAAACGATTTATATATATATATATATATATATATATATATATATATATATATGTGTGTGTGTGTGTGTGTGTGTGTGTGTGTGTGTGTGTGTGTGTGTTACATGTTAGGGGAAAATACAACACTATTCATACATTTTGAAGGTCATAAATGTATCTGTTAAAAATAATAAAAAAAAAACATTCTTGATAACGGCTAACAGAATAGCCGAAAGCGCTCGGACATGTAGAACGTTCGAACAGTTTTTACACACACTATAGGTAGAAAAGAAAACGCTTATACGAACAGTGAATAAATCGGAGTATAGGGCGGTATTTAATCTATATGTGTGCGCGTGTGTGTGTACGTGTGTGCGTGTGTGTGCATGTGTGTGATAATAAGACGGATACTTTAATCTTCCATTTAGTTGATAATTTATTTCGTGAACGCCGAGGTGTTCAACTCTTCAGACCGGAATCTCCTCCGTAAATGGATAAAAAATGTATGAATGAATATATATATATATATTATATATGTGCGGTGGTTCTTGGAAAGCGCTCAATATCAGGGATAGAGTTAACATATTTATTTGAACAGATATGTGTTAGTGACCCTGTGTTTCACACTTACACAATCCACATACAAACCCGATATTAGTCTGAGGATCTCATAAGCGTGAAACCCAGGTTCACAAACTCATTTCCATTCATATATATATATATATATATATATATATATATATATATATATAATGAAACAAATCCATTTACCTCACATGGGCAATAGGTTATTTCGGCAGAGAACGAAGGTGGTCGTCTGTCTTTTCACCCTCGGTGTTGAATGAAATGAAGTCCATGTCTGTAATGTTACGGAAGGGGGGATGTAGCAGTTAACTATCTGGAATTAAGATTGGAAGCTTAAGGGTCAACTTAAATATACTTATGGTAGTGCCTCCAGCAACTTAGTGAAGGCCCCATGGAATTCATTCTAAATGAAGGCACCCTGGACACTTGTCACAGCTTCCTTTCTCTTCTCAATGTCTTCAAAACGAATGCCAGTCCTTGTGTTTCTCCTTCATGTTGAGGAACAAGCAAAAATCAACGGGGAAAAGGCCTGGACTGTAGGAAGAGTGACTGACACTCAAAATCGGATATTCAAACACGAAAAATTTACACAGCGATTATTAATGAATCTGCGTTAAGATTTACATGGACGGAAATTGAATATGACTTCGATTTTCTTCTTGCAATGAATGCGATCCATACAGATATTTATTATCTATTTGTATATCAACTTTTATATTTACTTCATATTATGTCAACATTTCAACTGCATCCAGTATCCGTTGTATTTTGAAAAAAATTTTCTATTTTCCTAATGACTTTCTGGAAACCCTGTACATATGAGGAGTATTCCAGATGTGTTGAGACTTTTTCAGAGGGGACATTTATTAATTTTTTTTTATAAAATTATTTTATAAATTCGATTTAATTCATCAAAAAGTAAATTACATTACGATTTACATTATTAAAAATAATTTAAAATAAATAGAATTTTTTTTTTTTTTGGCATTTTTCGATTTATTCTATTCAAAATAATTAAAATCAAGTGTGTTTTATTGAATTATTTGTTATATATAAATTTACTTTATTAAAAAATATATTTCTTTACGGTTTACTTTATTAAAAATAATTAAAAACCAAAAAAATAGTTCATATTTTCATAATGACTTTTCAAAATTTTTTATTTGAAGAAAAATATTCACTAAAGTTTTAATCCTTAATAAATTACTTTTATTCCGTTATAGGAAATGCTATGTTTTTCTGGTGCTGAGTTGTGTCGGTCCTGAGTTGTTCCGGCGCTCAGTCGGCGCTGTTGAGTTGTCCTACATCCCTCCCGCCTACATGTCCCCATGAATTCATCACTAGGGTCATTCATCCTTCTTTCTTCTGTTCTGTAAGTTTCATGTGGCAATGTTGGCCTCCAAACAAACTCCCGTCCAGGGTAAGACGATAAACTACATCCGCGTCCAGGGTAAGACAATAAACTACGTTCAACAGCAAGGCCTCTGATCAGGAGGTTTTGAGAAGCGTGTAACCATTTCTTAATTGCTACCGTTCGCAGGTCCACCATAACCTGGGGTGGTAGCACCTGTTCGGGTCCCAGACATGGGCAAATAATTAACCCCAAAACTGAGGTAAAAAGCATTATAAAAGTGCAAAAATAGGTTTTGATACTAAAAATACTTTGTAAAAAATTATTAACAGAAATAAATTTTTGAAGAAAAATAATCCTATTAGCAACAATATATTTTTGAAAAAAATATTACCAGCAATAAGTTTTTGAAAAAAAAAATATTACCAGCAATACATTTTTTAAAATAATATTACCATCTATACATTTTTGAGGAAAAAATGTTACCAAAAATAGATTTTTGACAAAACAAAATATTACCAGGAAAAAATAAAGTTGTCGGCATTAAATAACCCATTGAGGTTGATATACCGTAAAACACAACAAACCAAACCAATTCTTAGTCTAAAATTACAATGTTAATTCCTATGCGAGTACTCTGTATATCTCTCTATGGTAATGATAAGGGTAGTAGTAACCGTTTCCTTATAAGGAAACATTTGAGATTTTTCGGTTGAAATTTATAAAATCTTTCTCTTAAAACAATTTTTCAAGAAAATAGCTTTCTCATGTGTATTAACTGTTATAGTTATTTCCAGCATTGATGGAGGCTTCCTTCCTAACCTTTTATTTGAATTATGGCAGTTTGGTGCCATGTATGGCATCCACATGAATGTCTCGGTCAGACAAGACTATTTAAGAACATTGCTTTTCAGGTTAATGTTTTTGGTTTTGTAGTAATTTGAGGTGTTGCACGAAATTATCTTTAACACAGAAAGAAATTGAGGGAAAAATCAAAAGATAAAAGAAAGAAAGAAAGAAAATGATCAAAAATAGAAGCTAGAAAAGTGGACAAAATAGGTGAAGTGGAGAAAACATAAGAAAGAAAGAAAGAAAGAAAGAAAGAAAGAAAGAAAGAGAAGTAAAGAAGTAAAAGAAAGATTGTGTAAGAGACCGAAAGAAAGATAGAGTAACAGAAAGAGAGAATAAAATGACAAAAGAAAGAACGTATACAAAGAAAGAAAAAAAGAAAGAAAGAAACAAACAAAGAAGAGTGAAAAGATAAAAGAAAGAAAGAAATACAAGTACCTGTTGAGAGAGAAAAAAAGAAAGATGGAAAACATAGAAACAGAAAGAAAGAAAGAAAGAATGAACAAGAAAGAAACAAGCAAAGAGAGAAAGAAAGAGAGAGAAAATAAAAAAGATGAAAGAAAGAAAGAAAGAAAGAAAAGTAGCACGTGATTGAAACAGAAAAAAGAAAGATGACGAAAATGATATAGAGCGAAAGAGAAACTAAGAGTGTGCGAAAGAAAGAAAGAAAGAAAGAAAGAAAGAAAGAAAGAAAGAAAGAGTATATAGACAGAAAGTATGGCAATATTATAAGTTTCCTAATAAGGAAATCTCTGACATTCATTCACCGAACAGACATTTTTCCTTTTTTTTAAAATTTAACACATCTTTTTCTTAAGGAAATTTTTTCGAGAAAATACTTTTTTCAAGTCCAGTAACTGTTATCGCTCTTTCCAGTATTGATGGGAGTTTCCTTCCTAACCTTTTGTTTTAAATAGTGTGGAATGTCAACATCTTGATTATGTTGTTATTTTCTCTTCGAGTTACATGAAAGACAGAAAGAAATGGAGAGAGAATTGAACGATAGAAAAAAGAAAGAAAATAGAGAAATAAAAGAAAATTATTAAAAATAGAGACTAAAGAAGAGGACAAAATAGGTTAAGAGGGGAAATCTTAAGAAACAAAAAAAAAGAAAGAAGTAAAAGAAAGAAAGAAATAAAGAAATAGACAGAGAGAAGAAGGAAAAGAAAGAAAGAAAGATTTTGAGAGAAACCGAAAGAACGATAGAATGACAGAAAGAAAGACGGAATGAAAAGATAAAAGAAAGAACGTATACAAAGAAAGAAAGAAAGAAAGAAAGAGAGAAAGAAAGAATGAAAAGATAAAAGAAAGAAAAAAAAACAAGTACATATTGAGTGTGAGTGAAAGAAAGAAAGATGGAAAAAGATAGAAACATAAAGAAAGAAAGAAAAAGAAAAAATGAAAGAAAGAAAAAATACCTATTCTTTCCAGTATTTATGAGGGTTTCCCTCCTAACCTTTTGTTTAAAGTACTGTGGAACATCAACATCTTGATTAGGTCTTGATTTTCTCTTCAAAGTTGCATTTGCTATCCATTTTGATTGTTGCTGATGTTGAAAATCCTCGGGTGATGGGATTTCTGTTCCTTAGTACAGTTCTTTGTCTTTGATTCTGTCGCACCAGTCCACAACCTTCAAAGAAGTGTGGTCTTTGCTAAGAACTATAGGCTTTACTCGCTTAAAGCCATTTTAACCATTAATCTGAGAAAGAGATTGTATCCAGCTGACCGTGGTAAAATTCGAAGCTGGGTCTTATGGTTGCTATGTTCTAACCCGGTTTCGAATTTCACCATGGTCGATTTTTGAGGAAGGTGACTTCTTGATGTTACCGGTCTGTAGTAGTCGATCCCAGCGTATTGTACCCTTGGAAAGTGTCTGAAAACCGTTCCAGGGCTTGACCAAACAAAGTTAGGGGGTCACAATAATGAGGTGACAAAGTCGGCTGTTACAAAGTCGGAGTGACAATGTCGGAATGACAAAATCAGCAACGGTGCATCAAAGTAAGTACTAATATCGAGAAGTCTACTAATTCTCAGATAGTAAAGAAAAGGTGGAGAGTCATGATCGCCTACGTCACGAATAAAAAAATGAAGGTTAAATAACGCCAAGAGAGAGAAAAAAAAAGAGAGATTTTTTCCCGCCGTTTTCGGAATCATTTAGCGAAGCGTACTTCACTTCTTCTTTACATCCACCCACTCGATTCGATGCGGTTACATCAACCACTTATCGCCGGCGTATAACTCTACTCGGCCGGTGACAAGGAGGACAAGGTATTTCAGTAAACAAACAAGCATTTTAAAAGGAGATTCTTGGTCACAATGTTTAGCGCTCCGCCCTCCCCGGATATGGCACTTGTGATTTGAAGACGTCATATGATGGACCAAATAAAATTAAAATTTAAGATACTTAAATATTTATAGACGGAAAAAGGAATATATACATGGAAATGCATATATATATATATATATATATATATATATATATATATATATATATAATGAGGGAGAGAGTATGAGACATAGAGAGAGGGGGAGAAAGGAGATATACAAAAGATAGAGAATTAAATATATGAACATAGATAATGAAACAGAATGACTTAGATAGGAACAGACTGAGATAGATAGATAGATAGATAGATAGATAGGCACAGACTGAGATAGATAGATAGATAGATAGATAGATAGATAGATAGATAGATAGATACGAACAGACTGAGATAGATAGATACGAACAGACTGAGATAGATAGATAGATAGGAACAGACTGAAATAGATAGATAGATAGATAGATAGGAACAGACTGAAATAGATAGTTAGATAGATAGATAGATAGATAGATAGATAGATAGATAGATAAAAAGAAAGAAAGAAAGAAATGAACAGTCTGAGATAGATATGAACAGAATGAGATAGAGAATATAAAAAAAAGAAGAGTGATTCACAGCCTGAGATAGACAGATAAGAACAGAATATATATATATATATATATATATAATCATTATTATTATTATTATTATTTAGACGTATTTTTAGTGGATACTCAAAACTGAGTAGACGCTCCGTTTATTTAATAAACAGTATATTTATTTTCATTTGATATGAATATGAATATTGACTGAATATTCGAAAAGTTTTATTAAAGAAAAATATGCACACTCTGACAGGATTCGAACCTGCGCCCTCCTTAACGGGAGAAACCGTCTTTAGACCAGATATGTATATACTGTGTCAGCGACTAAATCCGTCACCGATGAAGCAGGGTTGAATAGTGCCTTATAAACGCAATTTTTTATCAGACTCTCAAGACATTTATATCCGCTCAGTTTCGTATCCTAACTTAAAAGTCCTTCTTCGATTTATGGCTCTCCACAACTTCGTGTCCTTTGTAGTTCTTATAATTGTCTTCTCTTATTCCTTCCAGACCCTCTTCTTCCATCTATTTTCACGAATTAGTCAGGTATGTTACTTGCTGTTTTTCTCTGTTCCTCTTGCTTTCAGTATATCCTGTGAGGGTCAGATTCTCTAAGCTCCCTTTCCTTACTATGAGTTTCAGAAATTCGAACTGTCTTTCTTTTATTCTGAAAAAAAAAAAAAAACTTTTTGTTTCCATCGATTTGTGAAACAATCTGAGAATCGAAATGGAGTTCCCCGATGGTCGCCTGGAACAATTTTGGGCTTCTCATACGGAAACGTCTCCTGGTACTGGCAAAATAAAGTTCTAGCAGTGCTGGTGCCTTTCAAGACTACATACCTGTGCGAAATTGGATATTCCTGTCTGCTTCACATCAAAACAAAGAGAGCAGAAATCGACTGGATCCTCAAAACGACATGCGAATACCACCCAGCATCAAGACATCAAAATTGATGTCATAATAAACAGCAAACGATAACAACAAAGTGAGTTCACAACACACCCCATGCATAGAACCAGGATGAATTATTTTTCGATAATATGAAAGTAATCAGGGGTTTTTTTTTGTAATGCATTATTTTGTTGTCAGCTATGCGAATAAAAATTAAAGAAAGAGAATGGTTTTGTTATTTACACAGGAGATCACAATTGTTTTCCATCAAATTTGTAAAGGGGTGTGAGAACTAGTTGGTGATTTGAAAAGGGTGCGAGAACAAGATGGTGGTTTGAAAGGGGTGCGATAACTGGTTGATAATTTGAAATGGGTGCAAAAACTGGTTGGTGGTTGGAAAGGGGTGGGAGAACAAGTTGGCGGTTTAAAAGGAGTGTAAGAACAATTTGGTGGATTGAAAAGGTTGATAGTTTGAAAGGGGAACGAGAAGTGTTTGGTGATTTGAAAAGGGTGCGAGAACTGGGTGGTTTGAAAGGGGTAAAAGAACTGGTTGGTGGTTTGAAAGGGGTGCGAGACCTGGTTGATAGTTTGAACGGGTGGGAGAACAAGTTGGTGGTTTGAACGGGTGCGAGAATAGGTTGGTGGTTTAAAAAAACAGTGAGAAATGGTTGGCGGTTTGAAAGGGAGTATGGACAATGAAAAAGGTTCAGAATCACTGCTCTTGAACTTGTTAACTCCTGATAAAACGATCTAGAAATAGAAGCATTGCCTGAAAATCGAGAAAAATTATCAAAAACGGCGACTTTCACTTTTATTAATTCGTTATTTTTTACGGATTATTCAAAACCAGAAAATATTTTAAGAATATTCTGGGGGCGATAATAATCATTTAGTGACGCAAGTTTTACTAATTAACCCATAGCTGGGGGAAAGAGGTGATTTCATACCTCTGCCAAAAGTATTTCCGCCTAAGTAACTCTAGCTGTAAATAGAACTCGGCCCTCCGATGAAGAATTCCCAGCTATTATCTGTCACACCACCTGAAAATCCAAGCGGTCACCCATGTATGTACTGACAAGACACGATGTTGCTTAACTTCAGTGATCGTACAAGAACCATTGTTTCAACGTGATGTGGCCATATGCTAGGGAATACGGGATTAGCAAGGAAGTTACGGTTAAAAGTAGAAATTTCAACAGTAAACTCTTGTGATCTAGCTGCTCAGATGGGGAGCGATCAGACTCGACGTTGCTTAACTTCGGTGGTAGTACAGGGGCCGGTGTTTCAACGTTATATGACTGTCAACCTTTTCACTTCCAATCAAGAATAACCAATTATTCTCTATGACAACGCTCGGCCGAATATCTTGTACATAACTCTGCACTAGATGAAAAAAAAAAAATAGGCCACAAAACTGAACTTCGCAAATCTTACTCACTAAACTTCTCCCCGACCAATTACACTTTTTCAAGCACCTTGGCAGCCTCCTCCTACATATAATACTTACAACTAAAGCACCAGTTCAAAAGACTTTCTAAGAATTCAACGGTTCCAGGACATCAGAATTCTAGGGTAACGGTATAAACTCTTATGAGTAAACTCTTATGATGGGCCATGTTTGATTCTTGTTTTTGTTTCGTAAAATATACATATACCCTTGTGCAAATTAATTGAAACAACGGCTTTAGTTTCATTTCTTTTACCATACGGCCAGTTTTAGATCAACTGGAGTGACAGGGATGTAATAGATTTCTTCTTTTTTTTTTCGATTCGAAATTCCAATCCCCTGAAGAAGACCGTAGCGTACAACGGTCGAAACGGCGTGAATATGGCAAAATGAATAAATAGATAAATAAAAGAGCGACAACAGGACCAATAACATTACAGATTCCGCTTTGCATTTTATCAAGAATTCCTAAATACATAGCAGAAATACCAGATTAGATGTGGCAGCAATATTCAAAGCAAGGACGAATGGTAGACTTATAAATGTGTGAGATAGATTTTTCTTTGGATTTTATCAAGAATCTCTACATATATAGTAGAAGCACCAGATCAGATTTGGCAGCAATATTCAAAGCATAGACGAATGGTAGAAATGTGTAAAATAGATTCTGGTCAGAAAAACTGTCTAGCACGACATAGTGAATCATCTTTCCTATCAGCAGACCTAGCAATGGATTCAATATAATATTTACACTACATTGTCAACGGAAAAAAATTACCCCGAGAATGCGTAAACAATCAGCTTTATGGAGGTTAGCATCAGCCATTCTCATGGAAGACAGAAAAGGTCTTTTAAGACGATTAAAAGGGGGTCGTTTTGTTTTGGAGAGAGAAGAAACTATTTGCGACTGCTCGGTCTCACATTGTCCGCTGACCTGAGATGGAACAAATACACCGAGTCAAAAGCATCGTCCACCGCAAGGAAAGTTGGCTCCCTGTGCCGCGCCAAGAAACTTTTATCGCCGGAGTCGATCCTTCAAATCTACAAATCAACCATTCGTCCTTGCATGGAGTATTGCTGACATATATGGTCTGGAGCCCCTTCTGTTTGTCTCAAGGTCCTTGATAAAATCCAGAGACGGATATGCAATGTAATTGGCCCTAATCTGGCATCTCGTCTGCAGTCGCTCTCTCACAGACGTGCCATAGCCTCCCTCTGTGTTTTTTACAAATGCTTTCACGGTAACTGCTCCGATGAGCTGCTTTCACTGGTTCCCAGACTTTAAGCGTTCAACTAGGCTGGCATCTCACCCTTTCACTGTTGAAACTGTTAAATGTAGCCGTCTCTTCTACTCCAATAGCTTCATGTCTCGCACTTCTCGCCTGTGGAACTCCCTCACCTTTTCTTGTTTCTCTGATAGCTATAATCTCCAACTATTCAAATGTAATGTCAATTGATGTCTCCAGATGCCCTGATCTATCCTCTATCCTTCTCTTCATCCTTTCCTCTATCACTCCTCTTTGCTCTCGCTCCAACTCTCTGTAACCCCCTGCGTGCTAGTGGCTTCCCGCCTTGCATGGGGTGAAACGCTCAAAAAAAACTGTTAGCCTAGCACTTACGGTTACATCTAGCAATTTAAACTGTAAAATGATGAAACTTTGCAACTTATAGAATTTATATAATCTTTATATAATCTTTATATAGTATTTATAGAAAAGACACAATGAAGCGGCGGCGGGAAAGTGGTTGAAGTCGAGATACCAGGTCAGGACCGATAATATTGCAGATTCTACTTAGATCTCTAAATATATACCTATTTTTGTTTGTTTTATCTTATTTTGCACACCTGCCCATCTGGTAGGTACCCCGCTTAAGATTTTCCGACACTCAAGTCTTCTGGCCTAGCTGCTGAGGCAAGCAAGTGCACGTTCTGACATGTTCAGTTATAGCAACTCTTCGTAACGGAAGAGAAAAATCGTGTCAACGAGAAAGTCTAGTTCTTTTTTATTTTACTTTTGTGGGGAGGTGCTGTTTTGGATCGGACATGTGAGCAACAACGAATTTCAAGCGACATTGGAAGCAAAAAAAGAACCCCTATACATAACATCAGGAAAAGGGAATTAAAATTTATAGGCCACATAATGAGGACTTGGAAATTCGAAAATTTCAGGAGAGATTGAATTTGTTTGTTTGAATCGATGTCTAGGGCTTGTCTACCCTTTTCACAATCAATTTATAAACTGATCCCTCACTTTGTGGCCGCAGTAGTTTCTATACATTTCTATTTCAGAGAATGTAAATAAATCTAAAAGACATGCCTGTGTAGCTAATTAATATTTCATTGATTGATTGATTCGTTTTTTACGGTTTATCAACCCTTTACAAGTTATTTAAAGCCAGAAAATATTTTTAGATTGTAGATTCATACCTAATTCAAAATTTGGTAAACCCAAAAGAAATTATAATGTGGATATAAAGTAGGGGATCAATTCTATAATACAATCAATACATAAACTGATCCCTCACTTTGTGGCCACAGTAGTTTGTATACATTTATATTCAAGAGAATGTAAATAAATCTAAAATACTTATCTGTGTAGCTAATCAGTATTTCATTGATTGATTGATTCGTTTTTTTATAGATTATCAACACTTTGCAGGTTATTTAAAGCCAGAAACAAATTTTAGATTGTAAGAATATTTTAGTGTATAATGATGGTTTAGTGATGCAAATATTACTTATCAACCCGTAGCTGGGAGAGGAAGAGGTGATTCACACATTTTGCGCGTAAGAGAATATAATGAACCCAACTGGAATTGGAACTCGGCTGTCTGATTAACAATTCCTAATCAGTATCAATTACACCAGCCGCACATACAAGCTTACAGCACCTGATATTCTAAATCGGTCACCCGTCTAGTTATTAACCAGGCTAATTTAAGACTGGCGTCGAGATCTCATCAATTTACAGTTGAGCCGGTTAGATATAGCCGTAAGTTCTATGCTAACAGTTTCCTTTATCGCGCTTGTGGAACTCCCTTCCAGATCTGATGATCACAAAAGCGTGAAACCCAGGGTCACAAGCTCACATCAATCCAACCAAATATGTTAGCTCTATCTCTGATATTGAGCGCTTTCTAATAAGTACCGCGCATATAATATATAAATAGTAATATGATACTAATAATCTTATAAATATAAGCAGCTATACTCGTCCGGCAAAACCTTAGGTGTTGTAGTTTGTAAATGAACAAACTAATACCCAAGGGAAAAAAAAGGCTAAAAAAGAAAGAACTAAGAACATGTACTTCCGGTGAAAATAATCGTCTAGAATCTAAGTCCAGAGTCCAAAGAAAAAAAACCTCCGACACGAGTAAAACAAAAATAACTAAGCAAAGTGCTCAATACGCTAAGTAGAGCAAACAAAGTAAACCTAAAGAGCCAGACAAACCTACCTAGGTTTCACCTACGCGGATCGTCTGGGCAGACTGGCTCTTTAGGTTTAAATAGTAATATATATATAATATATTACACACACATATATATATATTTATATTTATATACACACACTTTTCACACACACACACACAGATATATATATATATATAGATATATATAATTATATATATATATATAGTTTTTCATAAACTATATATATATATATATATAGTTTATGAAAAACTTGGTAATCCGTATGGGTAAACCTAAGGAGGATAAAATCCAGAGAGCTCAATGTAAATCCAGAGCAAATAATTTAAATAAAAACTGACCACTTTAAGGTTCCATGTAATAAATTATTTCACCACAGCCCTTTTAAAAGGACTTCGGATCATCAGACTTTATTCCAAACAAAAAATGATTTTAAAGTTTGGAAGTAAAGTCTGATGATCCGCAGTCCTTTTAAAAGGGCTGTGGTGAAATAATTTATCACATGGAACCTATGATCAAATATAGTTTGAAGGTATATTTATGATGTCGTGATCTCATCAATTTACAGTTGTATGCTAACAGTTTCTTTTCTCGCACTTCTCTCTTGTGGAACCCTCTTCCGGCTCCATGCGTTCCAGCCAACTTTAAGCTACAAAAATGTAAATGCAATGTCAATCGCTATCTACTGTT